GTTTCTGGAAGCACATATTGTAGCCTCCCTATTGACGGTCTTTGTTGCATCGGACCATTTCTGCACTTTGTGGTTGTACACAAAAAGATCTAGAAATTCTGGAAATTCTTTGCACACGTCAAATTTTATCCCGCATCATACTGTGTATTGAAAATCATCCAAGCTTCAAACATTGAAGCTTTGTCATATTTTTTCGACAACATCTTTTAGATTTTGTTGATCTCTAAAGGTTGCAAATTTTATCCCTGGGAGATGGAAATTCAACATTGAGTGTGTCCACCATATTAATTTACGTAGTACATAATAATTTATACATATAGTTAGTTAATACACAAAGATAATTGTTTTATTACCATGCTCAAAGAAATTTAAAACATGTGTTACGTTATTGAAGATAGATCAATTCTCTTCTGTCTTTTATGCACTTAAAAGCACGATGAATTGTGTAATTATTCTCGGATTGGAGAATTGTATAGATTTTTTTGGGAAAAGTTACTGGAAAATTAAATATTTAATTCAGAATAATAAAAATACTATTTGTCAAATCACAAAGCACATTCTTTCTCGAACGTGTTCAATGAGGCGGGGTTATAGCCGATGACGACCTCTCTTCTTCTGTATCTGTAAAAACTATCATAAAATAAATATTGTAAATATTTTTATCTAAAAATTTTAAACATAAAAAAGTTCTATTATCCACTAATATTTGTTACATTGCTGTTGACGGTCAGATGAATAAATAAGTAAGAATATTGCTTATTTATATTATTTTGACAAAAATATCAAAATAAGCATGTTTTTTATTTTCAAGAATTTTAATTAATAGTAATTACACTTATAAAAATTAATATTATACCATAAATATTTCGATTAGGAACACAAATTAATAATTAATTTCTCACACATAAATACTCACATACTAAGTCTTCAACATTTCAAAAATTATTAATGGAAAATAGTAATTTTGTGGCACACATCTTTAAATTTTTACAAAGTTTGTAATAGAAAATAAGAATTTAAAAATAGAATTTACTAATTTTAAAATGGAACATACTTTTTATTTAACTTAGTATTTTTTAAATATATACCGAATAAAATTATTACTTTATTAAATAGACATGCCCATTAAAATCCCTTTTCTTTTATATATCTATTTCTCTTTTTTCAAAGTTGGAAAATATCTCCAATTAGTATTAATTCAAAGTAAAAATAAGAGTAAATTCTATAATTGGTCCTTTATAACAGGGGGGTTTTCCTATTTAGTCCTTTATTATCAAATATTACCCAAGTGGTCCTTCTTTTATGGGTACCTTTCCACAAATAGTCCTTTTTTGATCTTCTATCATGTTGGTGTTAATTTGAGGGTTAAAAGTGTAATTTCACAATGATAATATATCTTTTATGTCATACACAATTCCAAAGGCTGTTCCGTTTGCGTCGTTTGTGAATTACAGTCACTTTTTACGACAACTATAGTCTACAAATGTGATCTTTCGTCAAAATCCTAGCTCACAATCATAGCCATTATTTTTGTGTTATCCGCCTAACCAATATCAGAACACGTCACTAGACATAATGTTGACGTCAAATTATACTTTTAGCCTTTAAATTTACACAAACACGGCAGAAGATCAAAAAAAGGACCATTTGTGGAAAGATACCCTTAAAAAAAGGACTACGGGAGTAATATTTGATAATAGAGGACTAAATATGGAAACCCCCTGTTATAAAGGACCAACTATGGAATTTACTCTAAAAATAAATATTCATATGTAATTTCTTTCAGTTTTACCAATTTATCCGTTTTTAGAATAAATTTATTCTTTTGATTTGGTTTTTGAATATGAGTTCTTTTTTCAATTACAAAATATATTATTTAATTTAAATATTTTCCAAAAAAAATTAAGATATAAAAGTTTTAAACGCGATTATGTTGAGAAATTTGTGTGTAACAAATACAAAATTTAATTTTCATAGAATAAGTTTTTTTATTAATTAATTTTTTAAATATAACTTGATGACATGGCATGCTGACATGTCAAAATAATTGCCCAATAAGCGCCACATGTCACAATTCTAGAAACCTAACTCTCAAATTTTATATATAAAGATACGAGTACTACGTATGTTTGATTCTTTCTAAAAACAAAATAAGTATGTTTGATAATCTATATCTATATACTATTTAAAAGCAGGGGAAATTAGATTTTTATTTTCCCGCCCAAAGTGACATGCCCAAATCACCGTTGATTGGCACGTGATATGCAATCCACCGTTAATAATTACTCATGATTAATTAGCTTAATACGGAGTATTATATTTAAACACTTAAATTGACCTCATTTATGGAATTGAATGGAAGCCTACATATATGGAATAATACTCCATTTAATTGGGCATGTATTAAATTATATGGAAACATATAAACTGATTCATTAATGGGACGAAAATATTATCACTATTAGTATACATGGAAATAGAAATATAATATAAAAATATGAATTCCACTTACTTGGTATTAAAAAACAAGTAGTATTTTTATTATATATATATATATATATATATATATATATATATATATATATATATATATATATATATATATATATAATTTACCATACAAAAAAATTTAACAGGTGTGACATTCCTATTGGCGATACTACTAAATTTGAGAACACTCTTGACATATATAATTCAGTCATTCCAAATTTGAGTTAAAATTTCAATTATAATTTAGTTTTTAGGCATAATAAAATGTTCAACACTCATATAAATATAAAATAAATTTAATGGGATGAAAATGTAAATTTGATTTTTAGTAATAATAATAATAATAATAATAATAATAATAATAATCTATACTTTATTTAATTATTTTGCCTAAATTGTTTTCTTCCATTTTAAGTATGTTTTCATTTTTATTTAAATGCTACGCCATTTAGGTATTTAAATTAAATTAAATTAAAAATGGTAAGTGTTATCAAATAAATTAAAAAATAAATATGGTACAATAAATAAATGGTACCATTTAAATACAAAAATAAAAAATTATAAATTAATAATATAAGCATGAAAATGTGTAACAATGGTAAATGTTCTAAAATTAATACTATTAATATTATAATTTACAAGCATGGACATGTGTAAATATAGTAAATATTCTAAAGTAAAATAGAAAATAAATACCGTAGGGTAAGTAAATGGTACCATTTAAATATGAAAATAAAATTAAAAAACTCTAAATTCCAAAATAAATGTATTAATATATTGAATAATTGCCAAATAAGTCAAATTATTGAATTATTGTTAGGGACGATATCTGAAACATGTTGAATCATTGTTACGAAAACCAATATTTAGTCATGGGCAACTGTATGTTGCAGTTTCAAAACTAATAAATTGCAATGTCTTTAAAATTTTGATATACAATGAAGAGAATGCTCACACAAAGTATACGAGTAATGTAGTTTATAAAGAAGCGTTTAAAAATTTGCAAATCATTTAACTAACTTTTGTACTTTAGAGTAATGAAATATCTATATTCCATTATATACCAATTTAAATTCTTCAAAAATGATATTAATTTAGTAACCTAATTATGACCCGTGCAACGCACGGGCGTGATACTAGTTTGTGAAATCTAATTAACTTCATTTATGTCGCGATGCATATCTGGTTTTTTGTCGATCCAAAACTTTAGGATACACTTTCCTTTTCTTTTAAAAACAAGTACTCCCTCCGTCCCAAATAAACTTCCCTTTTCGCTTTTTCTTTGTCCCCAAATAAATTTCTCTTTTCCTTTAAAAAACCTCTTTTACCCCTTACTTTTTTATACCCTTCATATCACATCATACCTTTTTACTAATAATCTACATATCACATCTCACTTTTACACATCACATCAAGGGTATTTTTGGAAAGTTAATACAAAAATATCCCTCCCTTAAATCCTCAAAAAGTCAAAAAGGGAAGTTTATTTAGGGACGGATGGAGTATGTGCTTACTTATTTTTTATCTCTTTAAAGACACATTCTAACTAATAATGTGATTTTTTTTATTTGTCAACAACGTTACGTTTTAAAATATTGTTAAGTCAAAAAGATGAAATTATTTTTGAGATGAATGGAGTAATACGAATTTCCGACAAACTTTTATAATGTTCAACTCTAACTTTTTGTAAAAGTTATCAAATGTAGCCTTCAGCAGCTTTAAAGTTAATTTGTCTTATTGAAAAATATTCAAAATTCTAATGTTAATTACAAAGGAGTAATTCTTTTATATTTATTTTATCTTTTCTTAATTGCCGCTTTCAAATTTATGCTCATTATTCATTACCTTTCAAGTATTATAAAAAGGTACTCCTCCGTCCCCCTGTTTATGTTCAATTTTGACTTTTGAAACTGTTCATCTAAGCACTTTGACTCATCAAATTCTCTCAATGTGTAAGCCTAAATATAATCATGTGTGATCTTGTTTGATTTGTCTTAACATATACTACATCCCTCCGTCCCGTGAAACATGAGAGTTTTGCTTTTTAGTGGGATTTAAGGGGAGTGTATTTTGGTATTGAATTTCCAAAAATGTCCTTTGATGTGATGAGTAAAAGTATGATTTGATGGATAGATTATTAGTAAAAAAGTATGATGTGATAGTTAGGGTATGAAAAAGTAAGGGGTTAAAGTGACTTTTTAATACTATAAATGAGAGGTGTTTTGTGGGACGGATAAAAAAAGAAAGGAGAAAGGTTTTATGGGACGAAGGGAGTAGATTATTAATATATAATTTCTATAATTTTTTAATATACAAATTACAAGATAAAATGGATTAAAGAAATGCATTAGATGGTGTGTAAAAATGAAAGTAGACAAATACTCTAGGACGGAGAGAGTATTTGTGTGGCATATTTTATTCATCATTTCTAATAGGAAGACTCCTAATATTATTTTATTTAGTTTTCTTATTCTTGTATTACCATAATTACTTTATTCCTTTCCTACTAGGAATATGACTCTCTCTTGTAATTCCTATATATAGGGACATATCTCTCAATATTCAATATGATAAATTATTATCAAATTGTATCATGGTATCTGATAACTCGGGTTTGGGGTAATATTTTTTATTCTCTTTTTGGCATTTTTAGTATTTTTATTGTTTAATATTCATTTGTTTAGCTTAGTTTTATTTTAATTCCTATTATTACAAACCTTTTAATTCCATTCAAAAATAGTTGTTTTTAATCATTTTTTAACATGTTATTATTTTAATATTATTATTTTTTCTAACCCAAGTTACCAGATTTGTTTTGGAATAAATTGTAGTAAAAGGTCAAATTGAAGCTCAAGTTTGAAAAGAGCAGATTAAGTTTGGACCGGAGCCCAAACCATCATCAACAACTCAATTAAACAAAGATAAGCCCAAGTCTCCTCCCCCCAATTCAAACTCACGCAAGAAGAAAAAAAAATGCTTCCTGCGATTGAAGCTAGGGCAAGACCAGGAGAGGAGCAGCGACCTATTCAAATCGGCAGTAACGCCTCTCCTTCAACGTTCGGCCATGAATTGCTCTCCAAATCAAGTCAACAACGGCTCCTTGTTCTCTCTCTTTACTCAAAACTCTCCAATGGAAAAAATTCCTCCCGGCTATAAATTGGACAAGGAATCGCAGCAGAGGGAGAGGGGGAACGAACCAGAGAGCTCCATTCTTCAATTTCTTCATCTTCATCTTCTATAGGTACCCAAATAAATTGGCTTCCGGACTTAATCCGGAAGTCAACCCTTTAAATTTTCAATTCTTTTGTTGTTTCCATGTTCAAGTGTTGTTGTTTTTCCAATTTATCACTTTTTTTCGTTACTTGTTCATGTAAAAAAATCTGAAAAAAATATAACGGTTGGTGTTCTTTTGGGTGTATGTTCTTGTTTTAAATGTTCATATATAATTCCTTATGAATGAGAATTGATTCTTTCTTATTTTCTTCAATTATTGCACAAGTTGTTAAATTGGTTGAATTGTTTCAAATTCATAAGTAGGTTTTATGTAGAATTCGGTTTTTGTTGAAGCTATTTTAGCTCCATAAGATAGTTAAATAAACTCCGAATTCATACGTGTTTCTTTGTTGTGCTTGTGTTCGTTGATTTTAAGGATTTTGGAATTCTTAGCCCCATAAGTTGATTCATTTTCCTTAGAATTCGTTATAAAGTGATTTTGTTAGGTTATATGTTTGTTTTCCATTTTCTTTAAATTGAGATTGTTTAAGTGCAATAAACAATTCTTGATCTATTGAAAATACGTTGTGTTCTTCTATGTGAATAGAAAAAACGTCATTGGTTTGAGAAGTTCATGGAAATCTGTGAAATGTGCTCTTCATTAGGAGAAAAAGTTTATTAAAATGCATAAGGTATTGGCGGTTTGTGAATAGATTATGCATGAGAGTTATAATGAAAAAAAATTCGCTCTTTTATAAAATTTTTCTATAGTGGAAGTATGTTTTCATGCTTGATTGGTGAGTTGGGGTTCTAAGGTATATTTCAAAATGGGCCTTTGAATTGCATGATTCCGGGCCGTTTGGAGAGTTGACAATCCTCCATATCGTGGTTAAGAAAATGAATTGACTCAGCTTTTGATTGGTTTTTCTATTCTTAAGTGCGTAAGTTACGTAATATATTGTCTACGTGCCTATTATACGTGTAATGTTCAACTCGCGTTTATTCTCTTTTCATTTTGTTTCGGGTTCTTGGCGGTGTTTCGTGGGTTACCTTAGTTGGAGAAGTTGATTATCTTTTGAGCTTGTTTTCCCTCATTTTATCAAAAAAACCAAAAAATATTTACTTTTCATCCAACCCCCCC